CATCTGGGCCCCCTCGCACTCACGCATGGACAGATGCGTGTACACCTGGCTGCCGGCGGGAGGGACCACCCAGACACCTGGCGAGGCAGCGTGGGGCTGTGGCCTTCCTGGGCCACAGTCGCCCCTGTTGCTTCTCTAGGGGAAAGAATGCGATTCCGGGGATCTCGGCAGATGTGGGGTGGCCCCCACTGCCTCCTGGGGCTGGGGAGAGGACTCGGGAGGCCCCGGGCATTTACTGAAACCTCCTGATGCTTTGCAGGGGCCAGTAACTCATCTCCTCAGTGCAATGGACACAGTTCTCATCTCCCCTGTTCACAGACGGGAAAACTATGGCTCAGAGAGGCGCACACCTCGCTCAGCCGGGAGTGTCTGTGGCACAAAACGCGGGAGCCCTTGCGTGCCCTCCAGCCCACCCTGGGCTCCAGCACAGTACCCAGGGCTGAGATGATCAGTGGGGGTGGAGGGGGAAGGTGCCCAGCTGCTCCTCTGTGACCCAAAGACTCCACTCGGCTGCCTCCTGTCCCCAGCCCCCACCCCAGAGCGGAGAGCACTCTGCGGCATGTCCAAGGCATTCAGGATCGGGCTGGGCTGACGCTGGCCTCCTGGTGCCCGACTGAGACCCTCTCTCCTGCCATCAGGATGTAGTTTCTGAGCCCCTGCCCCCGGCACAGTCCCCTGGCGCTTCCGAGCCCTCCCCGCCCGTGTATGGTACATTCATAACATGCTCTCAGTGCTCTGAGACCCTCAAAGTGGGTTTTAGTTTTCTCTCTCAGGACTTTCAAGGCCTCTGTGTGCTCTAATTCCACTCTGCCTCTTAGGAGCTGTGTGACTTCGGGCAAGTGGTCGACCCTCTCTGGCCGCCATTGTTCCCTTCCCTGAAACAAGGCTGCAGGCGCCGTTCCTTTCTTTTAGTGTGGAGAGAGTTAAACCAGTGAAGAGGAAGGGTGCTTCCGAGCCAGGCCCACAGCAGGCCCTCAGTGTGTTCCAGTCACTATCACCACTGTGGCTGTTACTGCTGCCCAGCTCTGTCCAGGAGAGGCGGGGGCTCCCTCCCCTAGCCTGCGCACCCCAGCTCCCCTGCACCCCCTCCCTGGGGCGCAGAGGACAGTCCCAGGCAGCTGTGAGATTCTCAAGCCCGCCCCTGCTCCCAGTGCCATTCCCGGAGGTTGGCACCGTGCAAGGCGGGAACTCGAGACTGGCTCACGGCAGCGTCAGCAGACGGGCACCATCTGGGCTGGCAGCTTGGGGCGGGCTGGCAGCTGCTGGAGTGGGCAGGCCTGGCAGCCCCTCCCCCGCCTGCCCTGGCACAGTGCCTGCCCGCGCCTCAGGTTTCGCAGGCTGCCAGAGGGGGTGGGGAGGCCTGGCTGGGCTCAGGGCCGGGTAGGCAGCTTCCCTCTCTGGGCTCGGGCTCCTGCAGGCTCCTTCCCAAGCGCAGGGCGGACTCCCGGCCCCTGTCACGGCGCCACGCAGCCACCCACGCGCCCACCGCCAGCGCTCCGCGGCCGTGCTCTGGCCTCTCCGGCCGCAGGGCCTTTGCACGACTGTGCTCCCTGCCTGGCACACACATCCTCCGCAGCTCCCTCGCCTCCTGTAGGCTCCATCTTGGAAGTCTCCTGCTCAGCCAGACCCTTCTCGTACCCAGCCCCTTTACACGCCCCCTGCTTTGTTTCAGTGTCATCGTGTTTGCAGTGACTGAACTGAATTGTCAGTGTCCCCTGCCCCGTCAGTTGCACACAGCCCCCTGCATGCATTTATCAGGAGGCCCCCAGTGTCTCAAGATGGGGCTCGTGTCGGCCCTTTATCATGGGCCCCAGCTGTCCCGGAGGCCACCCCTGGGGGACCCATGGTCACAATGGCACCAGATGGATGATGGGTGGCCAAATCCAGCACCGGGGGTCCCCTGGGCTCTGACTTCCTAGTAGCCCTCATGGCTTGTCCCCATCTCTCTGTCCCCCCGAAATAAACCTGAGGATGGAAGCCTGGGAGTTTCCAGTGGGAAACAACCCAGGCCCCCGAATAACCCTGGGAGCGATGGGGGCGCCTGGCGTCAAGGGCTGGCTGAGCGGGCGAGCACAGGTGTGTGGAGGCCTCCGAGTCTCTGTCTGTGTCTGTGTGTCTGCCTCTTGCCGGCTCTGAGGCCCCACTTGGTCGCATTAACTGTCCCACTTCTGTTGCTGAAGTTGCACCTCCTTTCAGCTGTCGGGGGGTGCCCCCACTGCCACCCTGTACCTCCCAAGAGGCCGACTGAGGCCTGCGGCCATGCTCCCCTGCCCCTGGTGAGGCTCACAGCGTCAGCAGGGCTGATGAAAGCAGGCACTGCTCTCTGACCTCAGCTGAGGCCCCTCCAGCTCTGGGACCCCCAAAGCCAGTTCTCTGTTATCAGGCCACAGTTAGCTGGCTGGACATAACTCCAGCCCAGAAGAGAAGGCATTCCTAGGGTAGTGCCGCGTCGCTAGGCCTCCACAGGTAGCCTTGGCCTGGGCGCCCTGGGTGGGGCTCGGCTGGGGGGGACCCTGGAACACAGACCCAGCCAAAGGTGACAGTCACACCGGCTGGAGGCTCACATTGCCACAGTCTTCCTCCCTCCTGTGTAGGCACCAAGGTGGGAGGGTTCGGGCGGTGCCAGTGATCTGTGCCTAAACCCCACCTCTGCCCTCTTGTGACCGTGTGACCTTGAGCAGGGCAGTTACTTTCTCAGGGCCTCTGTTTCCTCATCTGCAAAATGGGTCCAATCGTGACCTGTCAGGCCGCAGTGAGCATGGAAAGAATTGCTAAAGCCTTAGGGAAAATGGCTCGCAGATAGAAGGAGGCGCTGGGAGTGAAGAGCTGTGAGGCATAAGCAGGAGTTCCATAGGGGAGGGACTCCAGGCAGGGCGGGCAGGCTGGGCAAGGCCAGGAGGTGGAAAGTGAAAGCATGATGAAGCGGGCCATGCTGGCAACAGTGCCCACCCACGCGGCCCCGGTCTTGTGCCTGGCGCTGGCCGTCAGGACCCTGGGGGGGTAGTTTGTTAGCACTTAACACGAGCACCTACTCTTCCTTCCAGGTGTCCGGTTTACACATGTGCACATGAAGCCCAGAGAGGTTAAGCAACTCCCCCTGGGTGGCCCAGTGGCCATGCTGGGGCTAGAATCCAGACCCGGCTCTGCAGGTCTGACTCACTCCTGGGGCTGGGTCAGCTGGGGCCAGTTTGAGCAGGGAGTCCTCTGGGGGTGACAGCAGCAGGAAGCAGAGGAGGGCGCAGCCTTGACACCCCCATCCCTGCCCTCACGTGGGTTGCGGACCAGACACGGGGGCGAAGGCTTGGCAGCCCACTTGACAGTGTCTGGGGAGGCCTGGAGGCCGGGTCTGCCTGCTGCACAGTGGGGGAGGGGTCGGTCTGGGGGAGGGGAGGCGCCTAGCGATTGTGCTGACACGGGCAGAAAACTCGCTTCAAAATTTTATCAGCTCAGCGCAGCGGAGGTGGAGGCGGGGCCAGGCCGGAGGATGGTGTGCTGCGTGGTGATATCACCGCAGTCCCCGGCCGCCCCTGCCCCTGCACCACAGTCACCTTGTCCGGTGCCGGCCTCTGCGCTCCCAGCATCACTTCATCCATGCTGGGGGGGGGGGGTTCGAGGGGGGGGTGGTTGAGGCCAAGGGTGGGGCAGGGGAGAGCAGCTGCTAAAGTCAAGGTCAAGGCCAGGAAACTCTCGGCTCTGCCTCCCACACAGCCCCGCCCAGCCCCGAATCCCCACAACCTCCTCTAATCCTTCCATCACTTCTTGGAGTTGACCTGGCTTGTCACCCGGTGGACAGAGGTCGAAATTAGGGCACAGAACAGTGTGCAAAGTCACACAGTCTGCAAAGGGCAGGGTGGCCTTTGGAATCGGGGGGGTCCAGCTCGTCTCCCCAGCTTGCTTCCAGAGATCCCCTGTGCTTATGGGGGACCACCTGGGCTGGGACTGGGTTTTCACCCGTGTGCACCCACCCGACATGCTCAGGCAGCCCCTGGCTTGCACCCGTGCGTGTGCCAGACCCCGCCTGGGAGGCCTGGGAGGGCCGGGGGCGTGTGCCCGTCGGTTCCACGCGCTCCTGACTCTGCCCTCCGGAGGTCAGCACAGCTGTCATACCGGGCACGAGACATTCTACAGGCTGAGCTTTTGAATCCCCCTCACACCTCAGCCCAATCAATCTAGGGACTTTGATAATCTCTACTGGACACATGAGGAAACAGGCCCAACTTTAACACACAGACAGAAACAGAAGCACTGAATCTCACCGCCCACCCAGTCAGGCCCTGCCCATGGCCACCAGGACCTGCTGATCTCAAGAGGCTGGATGCACACTCCCCCCATGCTACTGACCCCTGGGATGCCCCCACTCCCGTTACAATCCAGGCTCAGCTCAGCAGCACCTCCTCTTCCAGGAAGCCACCGTGATTTCCTTACCCTGCACAAAGCCTGCTGGCCTCACTGCCGAGCATCTGACCCTGGACCCAGCAGAGGCCCAGCCGGAAGGCCTGAAAGGGGAACACTGAGAACCAGAGATGGTGGTCACCTAGCCAAAGCCATGCAGTGGCCACTTGCCCACTCACAGCCATGCCCAACTAGGCCTCTGCGGGAGCCCAGCCAGTGTTCACCAGAGCTGCCCAGACCCTTGCCTTGCGGGGACACCACTGTCTGTCCCTCCGTTTGTCACTCTCCAGGACCCCTGCTCTTCACCTGGCCACCAGGTGCCCCTCAGACCTTCTGGGCCAAGGTCTCCTGAGCCCTCAGGGGTCTGTCAGCTCCCTCCGAAGCCAAGGTCAGGGGCAGGGGCTGCCTCCACCTTCAGACCCCCAGGCAACTGCCTGCCCCCTCCCATGCTCCAGTGGCCTCTGGCCCTTAGAGCTGGAATAGAACGTGGCTGCTCCCTCGGACCTCAACGTGGGCCCCTGCCTCGGCGGGTGCCAGTCGGCGCCCCGCCCCCTGAATGCCGCGGGCTGGCCGGCTTCCCCGAAGCCGCCCCCTGGCGCCCCACTCACCTCGCTCCCGCACGAAGTAGGCCAGGTACAGGTCAAGCTCCTTGACGGCGACCCCGATGTGGTGCGGCTGCACGCAGAGCACTGGGTGGCCGCACTGTGCGGCCTTCACCAGGCGCTCGCCGTCCGTGCTCTCCAGCGGGATGCCCTTGAAGAGGATGACCATGACCAGGTCCAGCCGCCACACCTTGTCGGCCTGGCGCAGGCAGTCGATGCGGCGCATCTTGCCCTTCTGGTCGGGGTTGGAGAGCACGCAGCCCGGCGCCTTCTTGCCGGTGATGGCCAGCACGAAGTCCTCGCGGCACTCGGGCCGGATGTCCTTGCGCAGCTTGGCCAGAAGCCGCGACGCCCACTTCTGCTTCACCTCGGCCTTCTCGCCCAGCAGCTCGTCCTTCACCGCGCGCTCCTCGTCCTTCGACATGCGCTTCTCGTGCTTCTTGAAGTACTTGCGCTTCCGTGCCTGCAGGTTGAACCAGGTGTAGGCGAAGGCGCGCACGTGAGGCAGCAGCGCCTCGATGAACGGGTGGAACTCATCCTGCAGGAGAGGCCGAGGTCAGAGGTGCCGGTGACCGCACCCCACCCCCACCCCGGGCCCCCAGACCGAGGCCCTGGCGGCCCCCCAGCCCCATCAGTGGGGGAGTGACAGGCCAATGTGCACGGGGGCTAGGGCAGACCTGCCTCCCCCCCCCCCCAAACAGGACCAGAAGCAGGTCTCGGGGCCGTGAGAACGCCTCACTCAGATCTAGAAATTGAGGCTGGATTATGTGGGAGGTGACGGCTAATACTGAGCTCACAGACCCCCATGGACAGATGGGATAGGGCACGCTGAGCACTCCAGGGAGGGGCGGGTGGGGGGCTTGCAGCGATGGGGGGACAGAAGCCAGAGAATGCTGATGCCCCTGACTGCTCTCTGCCTACCAGAATTGGGGCTCGCAAACTTACTGTACGGAGCCAGCTAGTGAATATTTCAGTCGCACCTAAATATGGTGCATGTTGTCCTCATGTGCGAAGTGAGCCACACAGGAGGGGGGTGACAGGCAAGTGCTGCCCCAATGACAAAAGCAGTGCCCGGAGGCTGGAGTTTGCACACCCTTGAACAAGCGTGAGGTGTAGTGACTCGAGCAGGGTGGACGCGGGGTGCTCAAGGATGCCGGACAAAGCAGGCGCCGGGGTGGTGCGTGGGGCTCATTTCTTGGATCCCCTGGCCAGCAGCGAGAGCGGGCATCAGACGGGGACTCTGAGGCTGCCTCTGCTGGCCCTTGGCACCGATGAAGCCAGAGAGCACAGCGGTGCCATCCTTGTAGGGCAGATAGAGAGACCTGGCTGCAGGTCACAGCTAAGACTAGGGCCATCTGGAGGTCAAGGGCGGGTGGAGGGTGGGAGGGCTCCTCGCTGCTCCTCGCTGCTCCTCGCTGGCCTCTCTGCTGGGGCCTAGAGAGCTCAAGAGACTACAGTGCACCAGAGACTGGGCAGGGGGCGGACAGTCAGGGCTGCAGAGGGGCCGAGGCACCTGCCCTCAGGCCACAGACCCATGCCACAGACGGGACACCAGGTCGCTGGAGGCTTCGAGACCTGGCCAGAGCCGGGCTGGGCCTGCGTGCTCCCCTGCCCCACATCAGCCTTGCTCGGTGGGGCTGGTGGCATATCTGACAGCGCACAACAGGGGGCCTAGTCCTGAAAGAACGTCCTTTGCTGGAGGAAAACAGCAGCAGAACGCTGGCTCATTGGTCATGGTTTCTCGGCTTGGGAGAGGAATGCAAGGAGAAAGAAAAAGGAAACCTTGGGTCCCACCTGCCTGCTCTTGCCTGGGCTTCGCCAGCGGCCGGATCTCTGTCTGGGGCACTAATCCCACTGTCCGCCCGGCTCTGGAAAGGCCGCATATGTCACTGTTGTTATTACTCTTGACACTGTTACAGTGATTTTCTCTCCCAGGTGCAGGAACGGCCCTCTGTGTACTACCCACTTGGCTCAGAGAGGGGCGCGCACCTGGCCACTCTCAAGTCCTACGACGACGGGACCCCAGGGTCCCAACACTGCCCAGGCCACTGTCCCCTGCGCTCCGTGAGGCTGGGGCCTCGGGGAGAGTGCTAACAGCTGCTCTAGACCTGCATGGCTTTCCAGATGGGTGCGGCCGGGCGCAGTGCAGGCCTGGACACTCACAGACCCTCTGCCTGGTGCACCCTTCCTGAGCTGGGCTCTGTCTCCCCTTGGGCACCTCTGGTCATGGGGTGCTGGGGGGAGAGGGACAACATCAGATTTCACCTATTACAGAGGCTCTGAAAATAGCCTGCAACCCCGGGGGAGGGGCGGGGGCAGGGTGGGCCCAGCTTGTGCCAGTCGTAACGCTCCACTCCAGCGTCCCCCCAGCAGGAGTCACCGTAACAGCTGTGCTGAGCACTGGGCCTCAGGGCCCTTTTCTCCTGCCCACCTCCCTGCCCCAGCTGACCCGTGCAGCAGAGGGAGGAAGGCCTCTCGCGCCAGTCCCTGCTCAGCCTCACAGCTGCGTTTCCTGTCTGTGCCGCTTGACACGCTCGACTCAGAGATGGGGAGTCACCAGCACGGGGTCACACCGCCGCCAGCAGAGCAGGGTCAGAGCCAGATCAGAGACGCCAGGGGTAGGAAATCAACAGAGGCACAGGCCACTGCCGCCCACCCCAGCCGACGCCAAGGTGGCGGGAGGCCAGGAGAGGCATCTGCAGTGGCTGCCACCACAGTGGTGCCAGGGCGGGCGAGACCAGCGCCCGGGCCCTCCCGGGCTGCCTGGAGTCAGCCAGCGGGGGGTGGCCTTCTTGGACCGCCTCTCCTGAGTCGCCACCCACCTGAGACCCCACCCCAAGTTCCTTTTCTGGGTGCAGGTACCCCCTTTCTGAGCCCTACCCCCCTCTGGGTCCTCTCTGGGGACAACTGTCGGGGATGGGGACAAGGGCAGGAGCCCGCGTCACCCATGACCCCAGCTGCTCCCGGAGGAAGAAGACAAACAGTTCATAACTGGGTCACGGACCTTCTTCCCCGGCCTCCCTCGTCCTCCCTGGGAGGTCACCCAGGTTCTCAGCGATAGGCGGGTCACTCCCGGTGTACCACAGCGCAGGCGACAACTGAGCCCCAGTGCTCCCCGCCAGCACCCCGCCCCTCAGCTGACCGGGCAAAGGAGAGGAGGCCAGTGAATGCTCACACGCCTCCCAAACTCCTGCACAGCCCTCACAGCCTTGTCTCAGTGTCCCTCCCTTCAGGTCGTCCTTCCTGTTCTCCCAGACCCGTGGACTACCCGCCAGGACCCTCTGTCACCAGACACACCTGGAGAGGGAAAGAGCTGGTGACGCTGGCCTCCATTTTGACCCGTGCGACCCAAATCACCGCTGCAATCTGGGCCTCAGCTTTCTTAGTCATTACCGCGGGCAGAGAGGGCCCTTGCAGCCTGACAGATCTGGGGGGTGGGGGTGGGGGAGCGAGGCCAGGTCTTTCCCAGAAACCCCATTTGGCCCTCTGGGACTTCCTGGCCAGAGAGGGGGCAGCGGCTGGGAGGCGGACATTGGTCATCTGGCCCTCGCTGGGCCCCGCTGCGGCACACTGCACCTCCCGGCAGCCCTCCCACCCCGACAATCTTTTTTTATTTTTTTAAAGATTGATTTATTTATGCATATACAACTGGGGTACAGGCCAGAGGTGCAGGGGCGGTGAGAGGCTTCACCAGAGACAGAGTGGGGAGCAGAACAGGCCGACTGATGAAGTGCACTGCTGAGGGGAGCAGCGGGCGGGTCAGGAGAGGTCTGCCGCGCCCTGTGGGTCAGCTCTGGGGCCGGGGATCGAACTCGCACTGAAGCGGCTGTAGCTGGCTTGCAGTACTGAGTCCTAACCCGTTGCACCACCAGGGAGGGTCCCCACTCTGACAATCTAAGGCGGCAAACCAGGAGATGAACTTTCAAAGCCTAAACAGACATTTTCTGGCAAGGATTCTCTTCCTTCCTTTCATTTACTCAGTGATCTAACAAACATTATTGAGACTCTATCTTATCTACCTCCTAAGTGCTTTTCCCAAACTCCTATGCATCCTTCAGAGCCCTGGTTCCAATGTCCCCTTCTCCAGCTTAAATAACTTGCCTGTGGTCAAATGGCTGGCAGAAGGCAGAGCTCATATTTGAACCCCGGCTGATATGGCCCCTGAGTTAGGGTTTCAAACCTTGAGTAATTCCTCCCCAATCTCTTAGCAGCTCTGGATAGGGATGGATGTTATGCTGATAGATAGATAAAGCTGACAGATAGATAACAGAATGTCAGGTTGAACGAAATGTTATCGACAATTGAAAGGCGTCTGACTGGGAGTCCCTGCAGAGTTTCTGTTTTTTCAATCAGGGGTGGACAGGGAAGGTGTGTTGTAGACATGGACACTTGGAAAGAAGACCCAAAAGGTGACAGTTCAGGGTAGGACCTTTCTAGGTGGGTAATCAGCCCCTGAAAGGTCCTGGGCAGGATATACTCTGTATTAGAAGAACAGAGAGGAGGCTGGGACTGAGTGAACAAGAGCCGGAAAGCAGAGGCAGTGAGGGAAGAGGCCGGCTGTGGGGGCCTGTGCGGCACAGGGAGGAGCTTGGGTAAACTGAGTCCAAGGTTGATACTCCCTGCCACAGCGAGCAAAGTGGGAGCACTGAAGCTGCGGACTTCCCTCTCTGTGTCCCGTTGTCCCAAGAGGACGAGGGCGGCCGAATCACAGCCCACGGTAGCGGGCAGAGACAGCAATTTGGGACAAGTTTGCAGAGGCCAAGCCCTGAGTGAGCTATCAACTCTGAGAGATGGGATCTGTTGTTGCGCCCGCTGCCTGGAGGGGGAAATTGGGCACGGAAGCCAGTGTGCAGGCAGGAGCCAGGAAGGAGCCGCGCGCAGCTCCTGAACCCTCTGGCCAGGAGCCTCCCGACTCCTCGGCCCCAGCGCCAGGCCCCCCGAGCACACGGCCTGGCCCCACAGATACAGGCCTCTGCACCCCGCCTTCTCTCCGAAAGCGCCCCCCTTCCTCCTGCCCGGTCATGCGCCCTTCTCCCATGCCCTTGCCCCCTTCCGCTGAGGGAGGCTTGATCCAGCCAGACCTGAGTCCTGCCCTGTTATTGCCTTTCCTGCCACGGCCTAAGGGCGCAGATTTGTCTGTTTTATTCATTGCTGGGCTGCTGCACAGATCAGGGCGCAAGCTCGTCTGACGCACCACATGCACCTCAGGGGCAAAGGGTGCAGGTACCCTCTGGGGTCTGGCAAAACTCAGTGGGACCCTGGACAGGGCTGGGCAGGAAGGAAAAGCCAGCCCAGAAGCCCATGGAGTTCAGGGTCCGGGTGGTGCATTGTCACTGCGCCTCAGTACTGTCCACCTCCTCAGCACTTTTCCCAGACTCCTATGCATCCTTCAAAGCCCAGGGCCTGCCTCATGCTGAGCTGATACGACACGAGGCAGGGAGGATAAGCAGGAAAATGCACATGGGATGTTTAACCCACTTATTAGTTTAGCAACAGCCACAATCCCTGCAGCGCATATTTGGCACCTACTGTATACTGATACGACACGAGGCAAGGAGGATAAGCAGGAAAATGCACATGGGATGTTTAACCCAGTTATTAGTTTAGCAACAGCCACAATCCCTGCAGCACGTATTTGGCACCTACTGTATACCAGGCGCTGTGCTCAGGGCAAAGCATCCCAGGAAAGCACACTTATGTTTTCCATTTTTAATGGGAGAGATCGGGGCCCAGAGTGGCTCAAATTCCTTCGCTCGGCCTGTATTCATTCACTCATTCGTTCGTTTTCACAACAAATACTGTTTCAGCACCCACTGAATGCCACCCCTGGGCCGAGCCCCTCAGAAACATCCTGCCTCCCTGAATCTTCAGGCAGCTGAGGATTTGAGGATCACCATTAGCTTCATTTCAGGGGGGCCCGGGGACACAGGAAGGCTCGGGGGCTTGTCCAGAGCCTCACGCGTGGGAAAGAACACAACTCACTTCTGAGTGCCCTGAACATACCTGAGGCCAGCCCGGGGCCCCTCTGCCCACTACAGCACGTCTGGGGTTGTAGCCCAGAGGCGCGAAGCCCAGGCTGCAGCCTCGTAGGCGGGAGGTTTGTGGTGTGCGCGGGTGGGTGGCTCAGGCCGGCAGAGCCCCGCACTGCCCGCCCCGGTCAGCATGCGCCAGGTGCAGGGGAGAGAGCGTGCGTGCGTGGGAGTCTAGGGGGCAGTGTGCCCATTTAACCGGTGAGGCTGGGCGGGAGGGCGGCCATGCAGAGAGACAGAGGGGCGGAAAGAGGCAGGGTGAAGAGAGGAGCGAGAGACAGAGACAGAAGAGACACAAGGCAGAGAAGGGAGAGGGAGAGAGCAGAGCCAGCACTGAGAGACTGAAGGAGAGGGAGAGACAGACAGCGGAGGGAGGGCAGAGAGGTGGGGGTGAGAGAGAGAGAGAGAGAACGCTGACTCGGCCAGAATCCCAGCTCCGTGATTTACAAGGCGCCTGGCCCTGGCCAGCAGAGGCACCTCACTGCAGAGAAGGGAGACAGGGAGGGAGCGAGGGAGGGAGAGGTTGTGCCTGTCACAGAAGCGGGTCGGCCCCAGACCAGCACTGGGAAGGCACAGGGGTGCCCGGCCTGGGCCTGGCCAGTCAGGTGGGAGGTGGTCCCACAGCCAGCCCTCAGCCCCACTGTGTGGGTCTTGGCCTCTCTCCCAGCCCTCGGGGGACCCCTCACCGCCCCCCTCCCAACTGCAGAGCCCACACGGCCTGGACCTGGTACATTGCATCTCCCCCAAACCTGGCCCATAGGAGGCGCTTAAGGAAGCTCTGTTACGTCAGACACAGGTTGGGGCCCTCTCCCAGCCTCTCTCCCCACAGAAGAGCTGGCAGGAAAAAGAGGGGAGCCCTGAGATGTAATGGGGGTGCAGAAGGAAGGAAAGAATGAACAGGGGAGGGGGGCTCTGGCAGCTGGAGTGGCCATGGCCTCAGCCAAGGCCCAGCCCTCAGCCCTGGCCCTGGGGAATCCTGGACACTGCAGCCAAGAGGGATTTGGCCCCAAACCCGGAATAACTAACGTGGCGGTGGCGGGCGGGGAGGGAGGCAGGGGGAGGCCCAGAGTGGGGCAAGCATGGGGAGGCCGGCTTCCCGCCGGCAGGATTTATGGAAGTAACGGCTGCTCCACACAGTTCCTCTTAAGAGTAAAAGTGAAAAAGCACTTGAGTCACCATTGAAACAGGGACGAGTTCCCAGAATCCTCCAGGGCTACCCCCCTCAGTGGGCAGGGCAGGAGGGGGGCACAGGGCGGGCTGGCACCAGAGTCACCCCCCCCCCACACCCGGCCTCAGCTCCGAGAAGGATCCGGGTCGGATCAGCTAAAAGTGAGCTATTTTAGGATGGGCTCAGGTTGTAAAATTAGTCGGGTAGAGCCAGGAGATGGAGGCAGGGGAAGACAGTCGGGGTGAGAAGAGACACACAGAGACAAAGAGAGGTGGGAGAGAGATGGGAGACAGGAGAGAGACGCAGGGGCAGAGATGACACAGGGCGAGTGACAGGGGAGGGGAGAAGCAGGGGAGGCCAGGGACAAGGGGGAGGCATGAGGCAGTCAGGGCTGAGGGGCGCAGGAGGCATCATCCAAGAGTGGGGTGTCCTGCCTAGGGGGTCAGGGTCCCCCTGAGGCCCCAGCCCAGCCTGCACAGGCTGCAGGGAGGGAGCCCGAGGGAGGAGCACAGGGCTCTCGGTGCAGGTTAACAGAGGACAGGCAGCCCCCACGGTGGGCCCCCCCCAGCCCACGGCCACGGGGCCCTCTGGCCTCTCTGGGCCTCTCTGCCGCCCTGACTCCTGCACACAGGCAGCACAGAGGCGGCAGCCCCAGACTCTCATTCCTACAGAGGGCCTGCCCGGCCCAGGGCACGCGCTGTCCGGCGCCAGAGCGAGGTTCTCTGGGCAACGTGGATGGAGGCCCGTTTCCCGAGGAGTCCTGACGGGGAATTCCAGGGCGCAGTGACAAAAGGCGTCCTTCCAACCTCATCGCCTGGAATAGTCTCTCTCGCTCAGCCCCCTGTGAGCTCTGCCAGCCAGCCAGCGAGTGAGCAGCGTGGAAGGGCTGGGGGGGCCTCGGGGGCACGTAGGCCACCCTCTACGTCCAGAGGCTGGGATGCCCAAGGTCACAGGGTAACCCCAACTGGAATGCTAATTGTTCTTGGGTGCTGCAGGGGGACTGTATGGCAGAGGAGAGCCAGTAATGGAATCTCAGGGACACCCCCCCAAAGTTACTCAGAGGGGGAACACAGGCCTGGAGAAGAGCAGGGACTTGCCAAGGTCACTGTTCCCCAGGCCACCGTGGACAGGACAAGCCCAAGACCCCTGAGCAGCCCACCCAAGCTCCTGTGGGGCACCTGGCGGGGCCATTAAGAAAACCCTAACATGAATAAGGGAACCCTACTCACAAAAGCAGGGGGACTGGCAGAGATTAGCAGCCCCGAGGCCCAAGTTGGGCATTAATCATTGAGGGGACGCCCAGCAGCTCACGGCCAGATCCGCCTGGGCCCCCACCTTGTCACCTCAGGAGACGCTGTGATGGGAACCCCTTTGACCTAAAGACACAAGGACAGGAAAGGCTCACAGGAAGGTAGACTGGGGGTCCTGGGGGCCCAGAGGGAGCAGGGAGTGGGGAGGAACCCCTGGTGGCCCTGGGGCAGGGAAGTTGCCCTCTCCCCACACACCCCCTTCCTCGGTCATTGCACAAGGGCTCAGCCTGGAGCAGTCTGGGAGCACAGCCAGGGGTGAGAGGCTATGGGAGGGGGCAGGGGCAGGTGCCCTGGCCGCAGGGCCCGCCAGACCCCGCAAGGCCGGCAAGGCCGGCTCGGGGCTCCTCCCGGAGACCAGCCGGCAGCTGCGGCTCCAGAAGCCAGAATCCAGGCGAAAATATGGGCACTGCATTGAGGGGTGGGGGAAGCGGGAGCCGGAACCGGTACCTCGGAGCACCCCCTCCCCCCACTTCTGGCTCCTCTAACTTGGAGTGTCCCCTCCCCCTCCACGCACACGTGGGCCAATAATGGGGGGAAAGGCGGCCCAGGGCTGCTGGCCCCCAACCCTGGTTGGTGAGGACGGTCCGCAGACCCCCAGGGGGGTCCTCATCTCAAGCGTGTTGGGGGAAGCCAGGGTCTACCCAGGAGCCCCTGGGTTCCACTTAGTGGCCACCGCGGGTCCTCCCGGGGGAATTTCCCGCAGAGCCCTGCCTTTGCCTTCTGGAAGGGAGCCCCCTTCCAGACGCTCCCGCGTTAGCCCGTCCTGCGTTGGCCGGGGTCGCGGGCCAGTCAGCAGACTGAGCCCCGGGTCTGGGGAGAGGAGAGGAGCTGGGCACGGGGTGGGGGAGGCGGGCGGGAGCCTGGGGTGAAGGTCCAGGCTGAGGGTCGGGGACCCCAGTCCATCCTCCACTGGACCCTGGCGGGTGGGAGAGGCATCCCGGCCGGGGTGGCGGGAAGGAATCGCGCGCCTTTTACGTCCAGGCTCCTCCAGCTTCCAAACTTCGGGGTGCTGAGTCGCGGGGCTGGGGTGCGGGGATGCGGGCGGGGGCCAGGCGGGGGACATACCTGGGTCAGGCAGAGCGGGGACGAATACATCCCGGGCGCGGCGGGAGGCGCAGGGCCGGCGGAGCGGGCGCGCTCAACTTACTGAGTCATTTTTCCAAACCGCCCCCCCCGCCCCCCCACCCCCCCTCCCGCGGCGGCCGCGGGCCGTCGCTCCTCGCCGCCTCCTCTCTCTCTCCCTCTCTCTCCCTCTTTCTCTCTTTCTCTCCGCCTCTCTCTCCTGTCTCCCCCATCTATCTCCCTCTCTCCTCCTCCATCTCTGTCTCTCGCCGTGTCTCTGCCTCTCCTCCCTCTGGCAACCGCCCCCCAATTTCTCCCCTCCCACTTCTCAAGATCCAACTTTCAAAGAAACGAGGGAAAAAAAGAGCGCGAGAGAAGGAAAGCCACCCCCCCAAGCTCCAAGCCCGTGAACCCCGTCGTCGTCGTCGTCGTCGCTATTATTACAAATTTCCAGGCGCCTTGGCCCCAAGCACCCGACACCCCAAAACCGAAACTGCGGCCCGCGGGAACGCCCACCCGCTCAAGAGGGGTGGGGGCTCTGGCTAATGCTGGACATTTAGGGCCCAGAGGTGGATTTTTGAGACCCCCCCATCCCAGCCGCCCCAGCTGGCCGGGAAGTTGGAGACAGGAGCCAAGGGGTGGGGGAGGGAAAGAATGAAGCAGTGACGTGTGCAGAGCCTGGCCGCGCGTCTTTCCCCTTAAAGATGTACGACCTGGGCTGCAGGGGCGGGGTGCCTCACGCACCCTGTCCGCTGGCTCCTCCCAGGGCCAGACAGGGGTGCGAGTCTGGAGGAGAGGGGCTTGGCTGACCTGCTGCTCCTCAATCTGAGGCCCACCGACTCTCCCCCAGCCTCCACTCCTCTGCCAGCAACCCAGGGGAAATGAGCCAGGTGCTCTGGCCACCCCCAAAGGTCTCTCGGCACCCCAGAGAGAAGGTATCCAGGCAGAACCTTAGGTTGGCCCTATACATCCATCTAGCTTCTTCCTGGGGGCTCAGTAATTCCCGCTGGCCCCAGCAAAGCTCCCCATTTTATGGACCCAGACGCTGAGGCACACTGAGTAGTCTGGAGCCAGGCCACCTGGCCCCGCAGCCCACATTCTTAAAGCTCGCTCATTCCCTCTAGAATATCAGCACAGGCCTGCTCTTCCCGCTGAGGCCCCAGGACCCCCATG